CACACACACACACACACACACACACACACACAATTTTTCCTACCTTTTATTATGGTAATTATTTAGAATACAGTCTTCACTTTGGATTTTGATAAAATTAAGCTTATTCGACGCGTTTTTGCACGAAACAAAAGAATTTGTAAGAAAAAAACGTTAAGTAATTTTTCTCGAACCGAGATATTAAGCACTAAAGTTCACTATTAAGATTAGAAAATCTGTCATATAGCGACAAGATAGCAACGACACGACTGGACATGTCTATCCGTCTATGTGCCGCGATCATGCACAACATGTAATTGAGGCTAGAATAAGTACTTTTTGCTTTAATTACACAAAGTCTCTTCTTTAAAAACAAATTCTCTGTTTTAAAAGTAAATTCTCTGCTTTATAAAAACACATTCTATGCTTTAAAAATACAAATTATTTTCTATATAATTTTTGTTTTTACAATAGAAAATTTGTATTGAAAGCAGAGAACTTACGTTACAAATTATTTGTTATGAAAATAAAAATTACGTAGAAAATAATTTGTATTCTTAAAGCAGAAAATGTGTTTTTGAAGAAAAGAATTTGTGTAATTGAAAGTTTTAGTTTACCATTTGGTTCTCAGATTCATTAACATTAATTATGAAGTGAAATGAGGGTAATTGAGAGCAATCGCAGTTGACTTTAGCATATATCTATTAACATATATTATTACATAAATGTAATTATTTTATACATAGTTTCTTGGTCAATACATACAAATGTTTTGACTTATATTTAAGCCATCTTTAACGCATCCAATAGTAAATTAAAATCATGGATTCTTGACTCTAGTTCTGAGTTGATTGTATAATTTGAACATTGAGAAAGAACTCCTTAACCAGCTGTGAAACTATTAAGATCGAACCACACAAGTAAAGATTTATCGTACAGAAAAATTGATAAATTAAGAATAACATTCATTTTTAAATTATAAAATTCTTTAGAAATAGTTTCTTATGATGTCAAAAATTCAAGTCAAGTGAACTTTGTCTTTATCAGTGATCACAGTATTTATCATTGGTAAAGGCCCGACTTTTTTTCAAAAGTCCTTCAAGTATTCATATTTTTCCGCGGATGGAGCTTGAGCCAGAAATTCGTCAGCAGAGATCTGTAGTTCGTGCAATAAATCGTCCAACTGCTCTTTCTTTAGCTTCAATTTGTGGAACTGCCTGGAACTTTACCTTCGATCGTAGTACAGACTGGAAAATGATCGCTGCCCTGCGGGATCGAATCAGTTTGTGAGTCAGCGATTAGCGCCAGATTTGGAGAGGCCAAGACCAAGTCCGACGATTGCATAAGCGTGGGGGCATCTTTGTTTAAAATTACCAAGTTGCTTCTATCAATTTCGCTGCATAGAATCTGGCCGACTTTATTCGTGTAATCACAATACCAGAACGTGGGAGGTGCGTTCATGTTTCCTACGATAAAAATATAGTCAAAAGTATTGCCGAAGTATTTATTTATCACTGGTAAAGGCCCGAGCTTTTTCCAAAAGAAAGTCCTTCAAGTATTCGTATTTTTCCGCCAGAGCGAATGGAGCTTGAGCCAGAAATTCGTCAGCAAGATCTATAGTTTGTGCGACAAATCGTTCAACTACTCTTTCTTTACTTTCAATTTGTAGTGGAATTACCTGGAATGTGTCACTTTACCTCCGATCGTAGTACAGACTGGAAAATGATTGCTGCCCTGTGGGTTCGAATCAGTTTGTGAGTCAGCAATCAGCGCCAGATGTGGAGAGGCCAAGACTAGATTTGCATTCGGCGGTTGCATAAGCGTGGGAGTGTCCTTGTTTAAGATTATCAAGTTGCTTCTGTCAATTTCGCTGCATAAAATCGGGCCGACTTTATCAGTGTAGTTGCAATACCAGAATGTGTTCTGATGCGCGTTCATGTCTCCTACGATAAGAATATAATCAAAAGTGTTGTCAAAGTCAAATAAAGCTTTATATACTTGAGAAGGCGTAAAGATGTTGATCTATAAATGTTGATGATTGCAAATAAAGATGATAATAAATTGAGTTTTACTTAGAATGTAGAAAAGGAGAAAAGTTCAAGGGATCGTAGCATAAATTTTTGTTTATAAGGATAGACACACACACACGCCCCTATCTCTTTTACTTGCTATGTTCTTTCTGAATTGAACGTGATTAGAAATGCCGAACTTATTGCTCTGTTTAAGGAGTGTTTCTTGTAGGCATACAAGATGTCATGTTGTGATGACCCTAATAGGGTCTGGATCTGAGGTAGATTGCTGAGTAGCCCTTGACAATTCCACTGTAATATGGAAAATGTCTTAGCCGATGTCTTAGCCGACCAATTCATAATGATCGTCTCTGTTTCGGTAAGAAGTGTAAAATTGCGAGTTGGAAGGACCAATCAGGCCTCCATTGACGTCGGAGTAATGATTTGTAGATGCTGAGGCGGATGTAAGTGATCCAATGAATAGATTAACCAGTTGTGTTACGAACAAGTTGTTGTGCCTGCCTTGATCGGCCAGAAGTTCTTCTAAAAATGACACGAGGTTATTTAAGAGCGAAGATGAAGGTTTGGTGCTATTATCAAAGCGTGAATTAGAAGGGATAGGGTAAGGAGAAGGGAGCGCTGACGTAGGTGCGCCCGAAAAGCTCTGCTCGAATTGCTGGGACGATGGTTCAAAAGTAGACGCGGGTGTTCGGTTCTGTAAAGCAACGCCTGCTCCAGACAGTGAAGGCATTCTACCGTTAGGGCAATTAAGATTCAAAGCATGGGTGCGGGCGAAATTGCTCTGAGCTTTTGTTACAGTCTCGTGATCTCTTTGAGAGAGTCTTCTGTAATTAGATCATTTTTGGTGAGTAATCCCCCGAAAGTATTGTATAAGTGGCACCTTTATGAGACGCCTTACGAGAAGAATTGATTTGTGATTTTAGAATATCAGCATATATAGGAAACAGCAGAAGGCTTCATGGGGCGTGCAAAGGAAAAACGGCATTCAGGCACGCAGCCGTGGGGCATGGATGAGTAATTAGACAGGAAGATGACTTAAACAACACAAAGTCGACTAAAAGTTGACTATAAGTTGACTGGATAAGTCAAGAGTCGACTTCAAAGTCAGCCCAAATGTCGACTAATACTTGACGAATGTCTCAAAAAAAAGTTGACTAAAAGTCGACTGAAAGTAGACTGGAAAAGTCAAAAGTCGACTTTTTAATCAAATCTGAATGTCGACTAATAGTCTACAAATATCTCGAAAATAATCGACTATTATTAATCCAGCTAACTAAAATTGACAAGTTTGACATTGTCGAATAGTCAATTTCGGTATGGTTAATGTTCCTTCTTTGTTAAGTTATTAGGCATTAATAACTAAAAGATATCTTACAGTTATCAGTGCCTAATAAGTTAACACAGAAGTGGAACATTAACCACCCAAAAATTAACTAATTCGGTAACTTATTGTCAATTTTGGTTAGCTGGGAGGTTTTATTATAATAAATTTTATTTTCCAGAGAACCACAATATACTCATGTAAACTTTTAATGTCATATAAAACAACATAATCAGTTATACAGAAATAAACATTTTCAAAAACTTTATATAATAAATATTTTAATACAACATACATTTTATTACACAAGCCCACAAAAAAAGTACCCTGTGCTGGGGTGGAAATCCAACTATTCTTATGTATTTTGAGTCGCTGAATACGAATTTGACATCAAAATAGGACCATCCAGGTTTTTAAATTTTCAATCTAGAGCGAAAAAATGATTTTTTTCCATTTTTTGTCATTTTTTCGCTTTAGATTAAAAATTTTCCCTTAGACCTATTTCTACTCTTTTATATATTTTATTTTGTAACGTTTAAAATAATGATAATCTCACAAATTAATTTTCGATCGTCAATTTGCTATAATTAGAACGTTTTTCAAACCATAGAAAATTATTACCTCCGCTGGCAGAAATCTCGACAGGATTAAACGTAGGTGTTCCTAACAACGTTCTTGCATCCTTCGGTAGATCGGCATATCCACAAATGCGCAATTGGTTCAAGAGTTCGGACATAGCATCGTATGAAATGTTATGTTTCAATTTCCACGAACATAACCAAATCGAAAGCTCTTGATTTTTGTACATATCTTTGGGAAAGTTTCCTCTGTGCTCATTTTCAGAATTTTCTTGGACATGGAACATTGAAACATCATCACTGAATCCATGATCATCATTACTGTCTAAATTATCAGCAGTAACAGTAGATTGGTGAAAATTGGAGACTAACTGTACATTATTACGATCGCTAACTACAGTAATCTTTGGAGAATATGCCATTGCTGTCTGTTCCTGTTCCTTTTTGTATGCTGCAGTAGGCGACGATTTTATTGTCTCTTTGTCAAATCACGAAAATATTTCCGCATCTGTTTTAATATTATTATTATTAGTAATAGTGTTTTAATGTTATTATTATTAGTAAAACTTCAAATAAGAATGATTGACAGTTACATCGACTGGTATTATAACGTTATTTTTCGTACTTTAATTTTGTTAATTATTTCAATGAATTTATATGCTTCTTAACTGATTTTATTTTTCGTAGGATATATTGTATTAAAAGATCCAGATGTGTTAAATAAATTCCTAGAGCAATACTAAACATACAAAATGATTAACATCATATCTAAGAAAGTAATGAAATATAAGTTGTATATTATTTACTCTTCTATAGCTTTCGCTCAAGACAAAACTCTAACAAATAATTAAAGTTAAGACAAATCCAATTACATTGAACATAAAGATTGAACTTCTTTTTTTATTGTTAATATATTAGAAAATAATTTTTTATTCTATAAGATACAGTATGATGAGAAAAGTACAGTCTCTAATTTTATACAATCAAACATATTTTAATGTTTGCTTATTATTTTTGTCAGCTACATTTCAAACAAAAATTGATTCAAAGAGTAAACTATATTTCATATATAATTATTTTCTTGTATGTTAATTCAATAAGTTTAAAGTTTTAGGTTTATTTAATCTTTCAGAAGGTCTAATAATGTAATTAATGATTAATACAAATGTTCTCAACATCCATAAGATATTGTGGAATCTATGTCAAAGGATATGAATATTTGTTATTATAACATAATTTTCGTTATCATGTGAATAGTTAGATTTATATTCACTACTAATTGCTTCTGCTTTTGATTCAATGATAGCAAAACACATAAATTGTAAATAAATTAAAAGACTAAACAAATCTGAAATTTATTGAATTAACATACAACAAAATAATTAGATATAAACTGTACATTATACTATCAAATTTTTATATCATTATACTACCTTCCAACTTGCAAAGATACAACTGATAAAAATGGCAAAAATTGAAAATATTTGTTAATAAGTTATATACCACTCAAATTAAATAAATCAATTAAAGTAAACTAAAGGACTAAAAGCATAGACAAGATGTTAATTGTTAATATTTAATAAATGTTCCAGACAACAAAAAGTGTTTAAAAGGGTAATAAGACGTTTTTTTTGCGTCTAAAAGACGATTTAAAGACTTCTTATGTCATAATTTAGATTTTGTTATTTGAGGTTATATTCTGAAATATATTTAAGCAAATGTTACGATTATTAATGAGGTCATTTTTAATGTAACAAAAATAAATAATACAAAGTAATATCCTAATAATTTTAAATTTTCAATGTTACATTCTAACTGAATTTATAAAATTTACAACGATCGCATAATTATAATATTAAATTTTCTACTTATGATAATACAAAACAAAGTACATCGGTGTAATTATTCATTAAAAACGTAATCAGACAGTATAAACATTTTAGTCATATTGATGCCAAAACGTGCCTCATATGTAATTTCGTAAACAAAATAAATAGAACTTGATCAATGCATAATTTTTATACTTTTGAACATTAGAATTGACGTTCGGAAAAGCTCGATCCATATTAAGATATACTATTGCTTGCAGTTACAATCATTTGATCATATATTTATATAAAACAATGCTGTCGATTTAACAATGACAAATAGACAACTTGGTCTTTTGAAAGTTCAGTTAGCATAGTAACATTGCTGAATTTACAGCATTGTTAGTCGAAACATTTGCTTAAATGTATTTGAAAAAACGTTTAGTAAATATTAGCAAATCTTGCCTATGCTCTTAGCCCTTTAATTTACTTTAATTGAATATATTTGATTGTATCAAATTAGAAGCTACTCTTTTTATCATCCATAACTTATATCAAATTCGTAAATGTACATGCACCTTACCTAAAATATACATGCATATACAACACCGAACAATAGGCCTGTTCTTTTTAGCTGAACTTTTGCACCAATTCATTTTTCTTCCTCTTCTTTCCTCCTGAAGAGAAGAAAGGCCTAATGTGTACACAAAATATCATTTCTTGCGACTTACTTTGACGAATTAACTGTTCATGAAACCTCGAACTTTCTGCAAGAAAAGAGCTATATTGCACTGATTGAAATTTCGGAACCTCGGACGGCTCAGAGATTTTCAGAGACGGAAACCTCGGAACACGCGGGCGCGCACACACCCCCCCCCCCCCACACACACGCGCGCGCGCAATTTAAGCTCATATCCATATGGGTTCTTTTAGGCATCGAATACAGCAGTTCTTGCAGTAATTCGTCTTAGCACGACTGCGCAGTCGATTACAACGCAGATTTTCGTTCTTTTAATAGATGCGCAGCGGATACGCAGATGATTGGAATTAGCTGCGCAGCCGTTTCGGATCTGCGTGATTAAAATCTATATTTTCATTGATTAAATTCTCAATTACAATCGGTAAAACGTTAAATAGTACATCAATTACAGTATCCATTTGACTTTTTTATACGAAATTTTTTTCAATTTTAGGGCTGCGTTCCGTTTCACGCATGATGCGTATGCTGCATTATTTATCCTTGTTATTCATCGAATATTAAATAAGGATAAATGCATTATGCGCATTATGCGTGAAACGGAACGTAGCCTAAATCTCGCACGTTTTGAGAATATACGAGCACAGAACTCTGTTCTTTTAAATCAGCTGCCGCAGCCGGCAGATTCGATGCGCAGCGGCTGTCAAATCTGATGCCTAAATTAATTCCGCCATTAACAGTCAACTTTGTCAAGTTTGTTAATTGTTTATGCTATTATATTAATTGCATGGATACTTAATATATTTTCGACTTTATTTCATAACAGTTCTTTTAATTTCAGTTCAAAGCATCAAACTCTCTTCGGCTGCCAAAATAGACATACCAATAGCGGGATTCTCTAATGTCCGTTTCCACCAATGTAGTTCTAAAGATTAGAAAAAGACAAAGAATAAATTGAGCCGAGATTAAAGTTAATCTATGTTGGTGGAAATGGGCATAAAAAGTCCATCTTATCGATGATTGACGCTACCGTTAACTAGCGACAGTCAATGGCAAAATAATTCTGGAAGAAAGCGCGGCTCTTATTGACTGTTACTAGTTAACGATAGCAATAATTGTTGATAAAATGTTTAGAGAATCCCATAACAAGCAGTATGGATTAGTATACGCATTATACAGATCTATCATTATATAGATGATTGCAAGACATATTGACACGCTGTCAGACATATTTTTGCTCGCTTGTACAATTCTATTCTACTCTATCTTTCATCTTGGATCATTTAGACCAAATTTGGAACAAATAGTTTGAATTCAACTCTATTATCGTGTATAATAGCAAGCAGTCATTTGAATTGCGCGGCAAACACGACAATATATTTTCGGTTTTGACTGCTAATGGCGGACGGGCATACGCGCGAATGCAATGTTCAGACTCTGTTATAAGGACTCTAGTCTCACGTATGTCCTCGCCGACGATTCCCATCAGGATCCTACCGTAGATTACTGTAGAATGAAGAGCAACAGAGGTAGCGTCCTTATTGCTACCACTAAGTTCAGCCGTGCAGTTCAGTGAAATGCAGTTTTTCAATCTAATTAAATAAAAAAAGTTTTTATTTAAAAATAGACCATAAATGCTACTTAAATTATTCAAAATTATAAGTAGGAAATTTTTCATTTTAATCTAACTAAGTTCAAAAAAGTTGTAACATAAAAATAATTGTGCTATGTTCTTTTGTTTCTCTTTGATTAGAAGTAAAATGGATGATCGATGTGAACACTCGCAGATCAAATCGAACACAGCTCGAATATTAGGCTAATCACGGCGCGCGACATCAAGCGAGATTAGATTATCCACTTACCCAATGTTGTCTCATAGTAATGTAAATTGTTTATACTTTATTATATCTGTTAAATGATATTTTTATTATATCATTTTTATTATATCTATATAATTTCGTTATTAGTTTAACTGGTTGTAATTGAAGTAGAGAATGAATAATTTACTATTTGAAGAAGTGGTGTATCGGGTGTCGTAGAAGATTTATATAATCCAGAAGTCCAAGATTCAAATCCCACTAAGATGCATTTTTTAATATCAATTTGAAGTAGTTAATTTCAGATATAATTATTATAAATGTCTTAGAAATAAAATTTGTAACCCTTAAATATAAATTTTTTTTTTTTCGAATATTTAACTAGTATTAGCTCGGATTCAATCTATTCAATTCATTTTCATGGATTTAAAGTATGCATTAAAAAAATTATAATCCGTTTTAGTCCATTTTCATTTGCTGGGTATTTTTGTAAGAATAATATAATTTATTAATATAGAGCGGTAAAACTAGATATTTAGTTTTTATTGCATTCTTAATATATTTTTATGTACATTTAATTATACATACATATGTTAAATATACACACACACACACACACACACACACACACACATACACACACACACACACAATATATATACATATACATAGATATGTGTCATATATAATTGTACATGCATATATTAATAGTATTCATTTCTGTAACATTAAAAGTTCCCTATGAAATTAAGTGTAACTTTGGAAATGTTTGTCTGTAATAAAAGAAATATTTCTTTTTATTAATCTTCAGTTCATTCGATTGACCCTAATCATTATATTTTATACATCATAATAAGAGATTCAACTCTTTTATCTGTTATGAATTTATTTCGCAATAGTGATAGATTGATGAATTGTGTTTGATATTCATTTTTTAAAATTAACCGATAATTGCATAGTAATATAGCTAATACTGCTAATAGTATATTACATTTTTCAGATAATATCTTCCCTTTCACGGGTACGACTTTGATGAAGTGGAAGGGCTCAGTACTTCGAGGATAATATACAAAAAATGGATGATGTACCCTAAGAAAAGTGGATGTTGCTATGTAGTTTACATCCACTTTGTCAGAGGGCAGTAGTGCGCGGCAGCATTTTGCGATTACAGGTTTTGGCCGTCATGTCCTCTCTCAGGTTTCTCTCTGCTTCCATCACGGTCTCTAGCGTTAATCATTGATGAAACCGGCCCTTGAGTACCACGTGTAAAACATAAGAGTT